GGGGGGGGGGGAGATATATATGAGATCCTTCTTCTGCTCACCTACAATTCTATACTGTATGCTTTTTTTTTTTAAAAAAAAGTATCATCTATTCCAGCAACTCACCTACCTGAACAGCAAATAAGCTCAACATTATAAAAATAAACATCAGGTTGAGGAAACCAACATTGTGCCTTCCTATGTTTTCCAAGACAGTTGAACATCTGCATAGAGCTTGCTTGTAGCTCACCAGCTTTATTGGAGGGTCTTCCATTATGTGCTTATTCATTATCCCTCCTCTAGATTTTTAACAACTTTCTACGTGCATTGAAGAATCCCTGCAGGTTACAAAGAAATCAAATCCAGTTGGTTACTTTGATCCATTTCCATAATGAGCTGTCCAGTTTACAAAACCCTGATGTAATCCAGTAAAGCTATACTGGTGTAATCTTTCTGTTCTGAAACATTAATCATGATCAGAACTGATTATTTCATGCGCTAGGACTATCCCCATTATTTGATTAGAGTTAAATGCATATCATAAAGTACGCTATGATCAGATGATTTCTGCTACAATAATTTAGGATTGCAGCTAATTATACCAAAACAGATTCCATTTCCCCCCACCTTGGATATGTGGGAGAGGCATGCTACAGTGCTACAGCTTTTGATGTGCTGTGCCTTTAAGACTATGTACGTATTCTGAGCTTTCTGATATTTCTCAGACCTAGGAGTGTCTGATGCAGACTAGGATGGAAACAGACTCCACTTCAACATCTATCAGTTTATAACTCTTTTTATATCTGGTTTCTAATCATCTTTCCCCAGCTTCCTGCAACTTGGCTACTCTTTTAAAAAAAACAATCAGAAAGTTCTAAGATGTCATTTGGAGGTAGCAGTTCAGCTGCGAAAAATGCAACAACCTGCAAGAGATCGAAAACTGTGAAGCGACATGCCAGCATCTACACCTATCCAGAACCACCCCACAGGTGAGGAATTGATTTTCTGTTCTATTCAATCAAACTGCTGAAACATGGTACAAGGGAAAGAATTCTTCAGATGCTGTTTGGCAAGGCAAATATCACCTGTCAGAATTCTCACTTCAACACAACTATTGATGGACAGCTCTCGATAGCAAAAATCTGATAATGCCGTTCCGATGGGTAGGAAGACAGACCTTGTAATTAAACATACAGCAAGTCCGTGCTGATATTGGACTTTTTAGCCGTATGAAATTTCTCAGCTTTGAAATTTGAAGCAGAGTTAAACCAAGTGTTTGGGTTTGTTTAATGGAGCAATGTCACCCACGTTCATGATTTGCTTGGCATAGATTCACACATAGGTAAGAGAAGGAAAACCAGACCTTTTTTTGGGGTGCAAATAATAACTATGTAAGCCTTCCTCCTAAGCCAGTGGCAGTTTGGACTAAAATACATGGACTGGCTTTGGCACTGAAATTGTAAGCTAGGCAATAAGCAAATCTGTGTTTTTGTGACTGTTTCTGAGAGAAGCATTGATCATGGTTTCCCTTATGTGTGTTTCTTGTGGGGTCGGGCTATTTTTAGCAACTCAGATGAAGATAATGGGGATGAGAAGGTCGACAGCAATGATCCGGAACAGATCTTCCAGAACATACAATTTCAGAAGGAAATTATGGCCAACATTCGTTGCAGGCCATGGCCCATGAGGCAAAAACTCCGAGCATTGAGGTAACGGGGTGACTTGTGGAGAATGACTGGTGTGAAACAATTGTTTTAAGATTGCAAAGCCAATGCAATCATGTTCAGTGATTGCATCTCCTTGGAGAAAAAGGTATCTGAGCTGCAGGCTACCTATCTGCCAGATTTATAGCCAAAAATGAAAGGTAGCCTATATTGTACTCCTTTTTTGTCTGTTCTTTCCTTCACCAACAATGAAGATGAAATAAAGTGGTTGGCCTTAAGTCCTCCAGGCAGTTTCTATGACTGAAGGGGGATTAGAACTTGGGTCTTCCCTCTCCAACAGCTTCACCCCTGTACCACCCTGGCTCTTGGACTGAGAGGGAAGGTTTGGCCCATAGTCACCAAGGGACGTTCTTGGGCTGAGTGGGGACTTGAAGCTGGGTCTCTCTCTTTTTTAAAAAAAAAACAAATTTTATTGGTTTTTTAATTCTTAATACAAAGTGCTCGAGACACACCGTGGTGCTGGGGTAATCAAAAATCCAAAAACAAAACATATGTAAATAACTCAATCAGTACATCAAATATTCCCTCTCTATTTCCCTCAAATAGCTTATATATTTAAAATAGTCTATTTCTAACAAATTGCTATTAACCCTATACCTGTTTTAGAGCTTTATGCAATTACAAGACCATAATCAAATTTAACTTTAAATACACACATTATCAGTTCAGGTATCCCTTCCAAATGTATCCTAATTCTTTAATTTCATCATAAATCTTGTTTATTCCTTCTTCCACTAATATCTCCCAGTTAAGATAAAATATTGATCTGTCCTATACATATCTAATCCATCAATCGATCGATTTTTTTTTAAGCTAACAAAATAATATCAACCTTAAATCATTTGAGTCCCTTAGACAAGATTCTGATTTCATCCAATTAATTATCAAACCTAATATCATCCACCTTATCAAACAAAACACATCCTCTTATTAGAATCACATTCAATTAATTATTAATTCAATCCCAATCTAGAACGTCTCTTCCTTTTTCTTCATTCCGTTATATAATCATTTTCATACAATAATCACCCATTTTTTTTCTTATTTCTACTCAAAAACTTAATCCTTAAATCAAGCTGGGTCTCTTATGTTCTAGTTCGATAGCTGTGCTGTGTGGTGCAGTCTTCTTTTAATTTGCTTTCACGGTCACTGCAAGTTAGCCACTCTGCATCCATTGTGAACTGGGTGGTCTTATAAAAATGTAGATGAAATAAATGATCAGTTCACAGAGCTCAACTCTGTCCTTCCTTGTGATTTTCCTGAAAGTCTGGAGACTGGGTGGTGGACCCCTGACTCCTTAAATTTTATCCCCCCCTTGCTCTCTTCTCTGGTCCACAGTTGTAAGGGTTGGTAGTTCCATAACAGAGAATAAAGCATCTGTAACTGCTGATTGGTAACCTTCCTTTTCCCTCTGATTTTTGTAAAGGAAGGAACATTAAGAGTCTCCCATTTGTTATAAGAATAACAAGGGCACTTTGGCTGCAGAAAGCCCCACTACTTGGCGCCATTTGTTTAATGTTGTTTATGAAAAGGGAATGGCCGGAACCAGACCTATAATGAGATTTGGGTCATCAAAAACCCACCGCTTTCTTCCCTTGGCAGACAAGCTAAAGAGATTGTATTGAAGTACGAAGGTCGTCTGACTCGGACAAGAGGCTATCAAGCTGCTGGAGCAGAGGTTGGTCTGGTTTTCATTAAAAGCTCCAGAGCTCACTTTTCATGAAAATGAGCCTAGCCTTTCTATTTACAGAGAGAAATATTTCCAAATGATATCATTGTCATCTCAGTGAAATTGAGAAATACTGTTTACAGATCTCCTTTCCTTTCCTGGCAAGGCTTTCTACCTTTAATGGCTCTATCAGAGAAAGATTCATTGGGGAAAGTTCACCTATTGTGAATATTATTTAGCAATTGAACACCCACTATCTATCATCCAAAGCCTTTGCAACTGTTTCATTTGGCTTGCTGAAATGGTTGCGTTATTGGTTTTGAGTCAGAAGGCTTTCTGAAGTTTGAGCCTTTGGACCATTCTTTCTTTAATTAAAATACTTCCAACAGCAGCTATACAGCTGGGCAAGCATTATAAAATTCATTAGCCTTGATTGCAGAATAGATGATTTATGTATTGAGTTGGTTTAGAACACATTCACCAACATCTGAATGCCAATGTGTTGATATTAATCAGTGGAATTTGTGAACTAGCTGGAAAAGTTGGAGAAACACACATTAAAAGGAAAACTGATTTTTCTGCTCGTGTTGTGGTTCAGAAATACAATATTATATGGACTCAACTGAATGGCAAAGTTAATTACTGTAGCTACTATATTATCTTGTTTTATATTTCAATATTAAAGTTCTGTGAACATTACAGAATTAAAATATTACTGATATTACTGATATGCAAGATAAAAATATTTCAAGAACATAATTACTAAAGTAAATATATTAAGTAAAATAATGGTGAATTAGAGGAAGAAAATAACAGAAAATCAGCAAGGCAAGGCAATGTATGTGTGTTCTAAGTGTGTGTGTCTATTTTGCTTTTCTAGCTATGGAGAAAATTTATTAGGCTTGCATATAACTTCATGGTCATCTTTATTCCTTGGGAGATGAGAATCAAGAAAATTGAAAGTAAGTATACACGTCTTGAAAAATTCAAAACATTGAATTAAAAAGAAAATGCTAGGAACTGGGAAGTTTTTGTTGGGCTAATTCAAATCCAGTTTCCCTAACTTTTGCCATATGTCAGATTTTAAGACAAATCTATTTCAGTTTTGGAGCTATGATCCTACACATGCTTTATCAGAGTAAATTCCATCCAAATCAGTGAGACTTACATTCAATAAGCATGTAAAAGGGCTGTGGTAGAAACCATTAATGATTGTCTATGTAGGATGAGATGAAATACTGATCGTTTGCTAGTAAGCATGGTATCAACGTCATGACTGTCCGATATTCTTTGACTCTGAGTTACTTGCAGGACTGCATCTCCTCGCTAGAGTTGACATGGCTACATTGATCATGTCAGGAAAAGTAGCTGGCTTCCCTCCATTTCTGGAGATCAGATGGACTGAAGCTCGGAAGGGTTCTTTTTCAGCAAGGGAGCTGAAATAATAATAATAATAATAATAATAATAATAATAATAATAATAATAATAATAATAATAATAATAATAATAATAATAATAATAATAATAATAATAGTTGGAAGGGACCTTGGAGGTCATCGAGTCCAACCCCCTGCTCAGGCAGGTAACCCTACACCATTTCAGACAAATAGCCGTCCAGTCTCTTCTTAAAAACTTCCAGTGTTGGAGCATTCACCACTTCTGGAGGCAGGTTGTTCCATTGGTTAATTGTTCTAACTGTCAGGAAGTTTCTCCTTAGTTCCAAGTTGCTTCTCTCCTTGATCAGTTTCCATCCGTTGCTTCTTGTCCTGCCTTCAGGCGCCTTGGAGAATAGCTTGACTCCCTCTTCTTTGGGGCAGCCCCTGAGATATTGGAACGCTGCTATCATGTCCCCCCTCGTCCTTCTCTTCGTTAAACTAGACATACCCAATCTGCCTACTGGGAAAAGCTGAAAACATCTTTTCTTGAAGACTTTGGGGGCCTGATGTGATGTGTTTCTTTGTGTCTAGGTCACTTTGGCTCAGGGGTTGCCTCTTACTTTATCTTTTTGCGATGGCTGTTTGGCATCAACATTGTTCTCACCACAATGACAGGAGCCTTTGTGGTTTTGCCAGAAGTAAGTGATTCTTTTAGATTTCCATATGGAAACCAACACTTGTTTCAGACCAAGAGCGGACCATTTGACCTTGACTGAAGACCCTGAAATGTCTCAAAGTATCTTGAAGGGACTTGAGGACATCATACGGGGTGTCATATGAGCTGGATACTTGAAATGGTCTGGAGACTAATTCAATAAAGTGTTTTCTGTATGGCCTGGGTGGTGTGCAAAGTACTGTAAAATCTACCTGTCCATCTACCTACCTAATTTCCAGACTTGGTTTTTCTTACAGATCTTGGCTGGAGATGCTTTTGGAAGTACTCCCAACAAGCAGATCCCCAGTGATCAACTTCATTCTGCACAGGATCTGGATACCATCTGGTCTTTGGGGGCAAGCAGAAAATCTTCCCTAGTAGACACACACACACACACACACACACACACTTCTTAGATAGAAATGCTATGGATAACTATGTTATTTCTATTTCTGTAGGGTTACCTTCAGTATTCCGTTTTGTTCTATGGATACTATGGGCAGACGAGGAAAATTGGGAGTGCTGGTTACCGGTTGCCCCTTGCCTACTTCCTTGTCGGAATGGCGGTGTTTGCCTACAGTTTTATCATTCTGTTGAAAAAGTAAGGCGGCACTTTTCATGGCAACCACCTATTTTTTTAAAAAAAAATAAAATAAATTATTCGACTTTATCCAGTTTGTTCACTAGGAACTGGAAGCAAACAAACTGAAAAACAAAGGAGCTCGCCTAAACCAAAATGTAATACCTTTATGAACTCAAAGTCATTAAATGACCTACAGCAATTTTAAGTTCTTCAGTTCTCTTCGTTAGGCAAGATAGCAAATGAAACCGAATAGAAATGGGCTAAAAATAATGGAAGTGTGTACCGATGAGACTGCAGTTATGATATTAGCTAGAATTAGTAGGTTGAGATACCTCAATCAGAGTCCTTCAAGCCAGCACAGCGCTGGGCTGCATTAACAGAGGGATAGAATCAAGATCACGTGAAGTATTAATACCACTTTACAATGCCTTGGTAAGGCCACACTTGGGCTACTGCATCCAGTTTTGGTCACCACGATGTAAAAAAAGGTGTTGAGACTCTAGAAAGAGTGCAGAGAAGAGCAACAAAGATGATTAGGGGAGGCTAAAAGACACAAGGAACGGTTGCTGGAATTGGGTATGTCTAGTCTAATGATGAGAAGGATGAGGGGGGACATGATAGCTACGTTCCAATATCTCAGGGGCTGCCCCAAAGAAGAGGGAGTCAAGCTATTCCCCAAAGCAACTAAAGGCAGGACAAGAAGCAACGGATGGAAACCAACCAAAGAGAGAAGCAACCTAGAACTAAAGAGAAATTTCTTGACAGTGGAATTAATCAGTGGAACAATCTGCCTCCAGAAGCGGTGAATGCTCCAACACTGGAGGTTTTTAAGAAGAGACTGTACAGCCATTTGTCTGAAATAGTATAGGGTTTCCTGCCTGAGCAGGGGGTTGGACTCGATGACCTCCAAGGTCCCTTCCAACATTGTTGTTGTTGTTATTATTATTATCATCATCATCATCATCAATCATCATCCCTGGTTTTCGCCGAGCCCTGAAGGCCCATCTATTCCATGCGGCCGGCCTGGCGTAGTTTGATTATGTTTTAGTGGGGGTTTTGTATGGGGTACTTTTAGAGCAGGCCTGTTATTTAATTTGATTTTAGAATAGAAACTTGTGTATATTTATCATGGTTTTTATTATCGCCTGTTCACTGCCCTGAGTCCCGTAAGGGAGATAGGGCGGTATATAAATTCAATAAATAATAATAATAATAATAATAATAATAATAATAATAACAACAACAACAACAACAACAACAACAACAACAACAATGTATGGGTCATTTGATTGTTATTTTCCAGAATGGCCAAAAATTCCAGAATGAGCCTTGCCAGTGCTTCTGATGAAAACTACACCTTTTGCTGGCGAGTGTTTTGTGCTTGGGACTATTTAATTGGCAACCCTGAAGCTGCAGAGAGTAAATCCGCTGCCATAGTGAACAGCATCAGGGTAAGCTAATCAACATTCAAGCGGAAAAGAACCGGTGCCTACGATACAGTAGACAAACAAAAATACTATAAAGTTGTATTGTGTGGAGTCATTAGAAGGATATTGACCGTAAGTCACCCAAAACCTTTGTCGGAGTGGACAACTTTAGGGCCTGTTTATTTATATTTATATTATTTATGTATAGGCTATTTTGTCTTTGTGTCTTTTAAGGAAGCTATATTGGAAGAGCAGGAAAAGAAAAAGAGCACAAATCTGTACGTATGCATACAATTTTCCCCTCTAGTGATATACTGGTCAGGGAGAGACAGAAGCCAGCTCTGTCTCTTAAGCTGTTATGTAAACTACTGAAATGATCTGAATCTCTTTTCTGCTTCCCGTGTGCTCCTCTCCACATTCAGAGCGGTGACAATAAGCTTAAGAATCATTGCAAACATCTTGGTCCTTCTCTCACTGGCTGGAAGTATTTACATCATTTATTTTGTCGTGGATCGATCCCAGAGGTTGGAAAGGACGAAGACAGAGCTGACCTTGTGGGAAAAAAATGAGGTGAGAGCACATTTTCTGAGCTTCAGACTCCTTTCCCAAAATGAGATAATCTTGATCCTTTTCCTCTTTAACTGAGCTACACGTAATGGCTGTTTACGAGCCATTATAATGACGAGATGACGATATCATCCTGGACACAGACTCTATGTGCCTGTGTTTTCAGATGTTTGTTCTCCATCCTCCTGGAAGGGCCATGGCAGAAACGTCATTCCATTTGCATGTTGATAGCAACTTACTTTGTGTTAGACCAGTGGTTCTCAACCTGTGGGTCGGGACCCCATTTGGGGTCGATCGACCATTCCGTGGGGGTCGCCAAGCAAGGCTGTCCGCCATTTTTTTTGTCCGCCATTTTTTTCCCCCCTTTTCCGGCGGGTGCCTTACCTCCCTTGGGCTGGGCCAGCTGGTGGTCGGCCTGCTCTGTCTCTGCCGCTTGCCAGCTACGCCTCGGCCAGCGCAGGGGGCGGAACCTCGCATGCGTGGCGCTCCTGGGCAGGGAAAGTCCTCGACTTACGACCGGTTGGGTAGTCCTTGACTTACGACTGGTTTAGTCCTCGACTTACGACCAGTTTAGTCCTCGACTTACGACCGGTTTAGTCCTCGACTTACGACCGGTTGGGGTCGCGGCATTAAAAAGGTTGAGAACCACTGTGTTAGACTTTCAAGCCAATGAATAAACCAAAACCTGGACTGTATTTTGAACTGCATGGTGCTCAGAATGTTTGCGCTCTCACTTTTAAGACATCATGTAAGAATACGTTAAGAAAATGCAGGTCCCCAAATGGATAACTGGCTGAAAATATTAACTACATGCATTCTATCGTGGAAAAATCTCTTGATAAATTGGCTTTCAAGAAAACGGATGCGACTAGAAATACAAAAAACAGATATCGCTCTCTCGAAATGCTTTTATGGTAAGTGTTTGTGCCTGGGTGCATTTTTGAGTTGTGTCACAAAATCTGTCAAGGATGAAGTTCCAGCAAAGAGCTCTATTCGGATATACGTGATGGTTTAATAATTGCATAAAAATCAAGCGCCTTTTCCCCTTGAAAATAAGACATTCTTTTCTTGTTTCCAGGTGAGTGTGGTTGTCTCCCTGATTACCATGCTCGCACCATCTGCCTTTGAACTGATAGCTGCCCTGGAGATGTATCATCCCAGAACTACGCTCCGCTTCCAGCTCGCCAGGTGTGCATCACATCCACTTAGCACAGGGGTCTTCAAACTTGGCCCTTTTAGGACTTGTGGACTTCAACTCCCAGACTTCCTCAGCCAGCGTGCCTGGCTGAGGAATTCTGGGAGTTGAAGTCCACAAGCAGGGGTCTTCAAACTTGGCCCTTTTAGGACTTGTGGATTTCAACTCCCAGACTTCCTCAGCCGGCGTGCCTGACTGAGGAATTCTGGGAGTTGAAGTCCACAAGTCCTAAAAGGGCCAAGTTTGAAGACCCCTGACTTAGCAGAATAAAAATGGCCTCAATCATTTCCACCTGAAGTGACAGATGGAATGGGGTGGACTTCCAGTGAAAAAACATTTGCCAATTTTTGCTTCTTGGTTGTTGTTGTTTTTTTCCCCCCAGAGTGTTGGTCTTATATTTGGGAAATCTCTACAGCTTGATCATTGCACTTCTGGATAAAGTGGATAGCATGAGCATTGTTGTAAGTTGCAAGTCTTTATCATTTTGGGTAGCAAGATGATCTCGGTGCTTTGCAGTAATCCCCTTGAGACCAGTAGGGATTTTGGTGAACTGAAACACTTCAGCACACAGTTGAGGCAGAATTACACATCTGTACCTCTTCAGTATTTCATTGTAAAAATGATAAATGTTAACGCTCTCATTTTTTTTTTTGTCTTCCCCTTTTACTTGTAATAGCTATAAAAATGTTACCTCAAAATATTATCTCACGTGGGTTGGAATATAACAGAAATTCAATCCACACAATTCATAAACCTGACATAAAAGCATAAGCTGCACTACTGTAGGGGAAAAAAGAAGTAATATATAAGAATAAAACAATATTCAATTAATTGTCTCCATCCCCTAACCAGGGATGTTTTGGCTGTTGTGATTACATTCCCAAAAAGTGACATTGGAAAGACAAAGTTAAGTACACTCATAATAAGAACTAAACTTGCTTTGGTTTAATTTAAATGTTTTAAATATTTTTTTTTCTCTTGACACAGTGGCAATTATAATTAAGCAGCAATTGCTGAGCAGGAGGGAGACTCCAGGCTGTATTACAGGGGTGTCAAACTGCCGGCCCGCAGGCCGGATGCGTCATGCCGAAACCGTGCCCACCCCATTGCCGGCAATGGGAAAAAAAGTTGTGACACGAGTTAGACACCCCTGCTCTATTACCTAGTTTTTTTGGCAAAGTCCAAGTATTCTTGAGGCTGCAGACTGTGACTTAAAAGCTTTGAACAGGACTGGGGAAGTGGAAAGACCCACTCTCTGACTTTCCATTTCCATATATGATTTCAGAAGGCCGAGGTTCATAAAAATGGAAGCAACACCATGGGTACCACCACCTTCTTAGCAGCAAAAACCCTCCTGGAGCACAACTTTTCAACCCCAATTCCAAATATGCAAATGATTAAGAATGGCACTTTCCTTCTATCTGAGAATCACACCCACAGCTACGCTCACCTGGTTGAAGTCAACAATACAGCACCTTACGACGCCAACGGCGAAAGTCACAAAAATCAATGCTGGGAGACCTATGTTGGTCAAGTAGGTCTCACCCTTACCCAAGCTATTTTCTTTTTCCACTGATGGCACCAAAACTGAAGAAATGTTTGGCAGGAGGATCAATGGAGACCTGTCTTCCCATCCTTACTATTATTGCCTCTGCTGTTTCTAAAGTAGCAAGGACGCTGCTTATTTTTTTTATTATAAATACTCCACTTACAAATATGTTATGCATTTCAGTGTTAAATGCCTAGGTAGTAATACACGTTTTGGTGTGTGTGTGTGTATGTGTGTGTGTTTTAAGTGTTACTGTCGGTCATTGCATTGTGTTTTGTTTCAGGAGATGTTGAAATTGTCAATTATCGATATGCTGTTCACTGTGGCTAGCATCCTCCTGATTGATTTTTTCCGTGGTCTTTTTGTCCGGTATTTAAGTGACTGCTGGTGCTGGGATCTGGAAAGCAAGTTTGTGAGTATAGGTTCAAACAAATAATTAAAAAAGTATAAACTGGAGCATGTTCCATAGGAGGTAGGGCTCTTTTTAAAATCTTCCTCCTCCATTGCTTTCAGTGAGTGGTGCAAGGATCGATCCATAATACTTTCAACCAATAGAGGGCAGTGTTCCACCTATATTTGATCTGAACCAATAACTAGAAAGCAGATCTTTAATGCTTTAAATCAGTATTTCTTAAAGTCTGGACAGAGGACCTCTGAAATCCCCCGAGACCCTCTCAGGGGGCCTGCAAAAATAAAATTATTTGCCAGCCTATGTTGAAAAATAATAAAACATTTCAATCCCTTCAAACAATCACGAGAAGCGATAGTAGCAGCGAAGACATCAGAATTTGTAATACAGTAAATATTGATAAATCTAACCCATGCACGCAGAAGCTCTTTCGTCCTGCATGATTTTTAAAAGTGGCAAAGGGAGCAGAGAGGAAAAAAAATGTAAGAAACATTGCCCCAGATGTATCTTTTAAAAAATATATAATAATTTGCTACTAAATCTTTTTCATTGCTGTTGTTCGTTACTTTGCAGCCAGAATATGGGGAATTTAAAATAGCAGAAAACGTCCTGCATTTGGTCTACAATCAAGGGATGATCTGGTAACAAATTAACTTCGTTCTGTTTATCTTAGTGATAGCTAATTTTCGAGGAACTTACATCATATTGCCTTTGAGCCGCAGACCAGTAACTGCATTCCCAAAAAGGGAAATTGTTTACTAAGAGTTGTACACTGTTAGCTTGTCTGCATTAGTAGTTCCTTCACTGGGGCAATGCTTACTTGATGGTTGGTCTAGTGTTCATCTTGCTGTTCATCTCTGCTCATATGAGTGATGGCCAAATTCATTTCTTCCTGTTGGCCAAACTCATAAATAACCAAACCCATTCCGAGTGAAGCAAGGAAAAGCTTGTTCATTAATAGTCTACTTCCCAAATTAAAAACATTATTATTATTATTATTTTTACAAAATTTTATTTATAATACAATTAAAAAAAACATTGGCTATAACGTGACATTCCAGTATATACATTCTTATCAAATTATTCCACATTTTACAGTCGGTTCTTCATCTCTGAATATACATCTAAGTTTTATATACAGTACTTATTCTAAAATAACATATATTTCTATCTTAACGCTAGTCTTTAATCCCAACCGTCCTCCTCGAATCTCTCCAGCGGTAAAATGTATCCCAGGTTTCGAAGTAAACTGATCCACATTTGTCTTTCAAAACCATTGTAAGCCTGTCCATTTCCGCACATGCTAATATTTTATATAGTGACTCTTCCTCTGTGTGGATTTCTTTGCTCTTCCATTTTTGCGCAAACGCCAGCCTCGCTGCAGTCAAGATGCGTAACAGCAAATAGATTGTTCCCTTATTGTATTTCTCTGTAGTTATTCACAGCAAGAAGAGTTCCGGTTTTAACTCTAAGTCCAATATTAATATATCTCTCAACCAACTTTGTATCCTATTCCAATACTCACGGGCCTTTGCGCATTCCCAACACATATGGTAATATGATCCTATTGCTGATTTACATAAATTAAAAACATGATTGATGAGTGGGCCCTGGTTGTTCCCATTCCTAGGATGGGAGCCTTCTTTTCTCCCTGCCTTCCTGCATTCAACGTTCTGAAGCTGATCGGGCTGATGTACCTAAGAAGCTGGGCAGTCTTGACCTGCAACGTCCCTCACCAGCAAGTCTTCCGTGCCTCAAGGTTGGTTGATAAGAAGCCTTGAGTTCAGCTTGAAAAGGTTTTAATCCCAAGTTGTTTAAGAGGAAACTTGTGGTCTATCCATGTATGGACTTTATGCTTCCAGCTTGCTCAACTGGTGGTCATTTCCCCCCATTCTTCCTAACTTATCTAGCTCAGAGCTTGGCTGTGAACAGAAAATTATTTTGAAATGTTTTAAATGCTGCAGATTTTCTGAGACAACAACTGAATGTTTTCCATCTAGCGGGCAAGAAAAAATCTATGATATTGTGTCTGAAACTGTCGGGATTTCTTTGCTCTTCCATTTTTGCGCAAATGCAAGCCTCGCTGCAGTCAAGATGTGCAACAGCAAATAGATTGTTCCCTTATTGTATTTCTCTGTAGTTATTCCCAGCAAGAAGAGTTCCGGTTTTAACTCTAAGTCCAATATTAACATATCTCTCAACCAACTTCGTATCCTATTCCAATACTCACGGGCCTTTGGGCATTCCCACCACATATGGTAACCAACCAAGGTTGGTTACTTCACATGTATCCCCACAGAAACAGCAAAACACAAGCTCTGGTCATGGTTTTCACAATTGTTTGTGAACATAAAATCAAAACAGAAACATCTAAGGATCAAAAAATCGAATAGATTAGATATAGGAGTTGGTTTAATTTGACTTGGCTTTTTAAACCTAATAGTTAAACTTACTGAGTGTACTGATAGAACGTAGAATCATAAGGCTGGAAGGAACCTCAGAGGTCTGCTAGTCCAACCCCTTGCTTGAGGAAGGAAACCTTATATCATCCTGATCAAATAGTTGTCCATTCTATTTTTTCAAAACCTCCAGTGATAAGAGCACCCACAAACTCTGGGAAGCAAGCTGTCCCGATTAATTGTTCTCACTGTCAGAAAATTTCTCCTTATTTCTAAGCTGGATCTCTCCTTAACATGCTTCCACCCATTGCGTCTTGTCCTGCCCTCTGGCGCTTTGGAAAATAAGTCAATCCCCTCTTCTCTGTGACAGCCCCTCAACTACTGGAAGACAGTTATCATGTCCCCTTGTAAGTTTCTCTCCTCCAAATTACTGCATGGGGCTACAGAAAACTTTGCCAACATCTTAAAACAGTGACTGGAAGATAAAATATGGAACTTCACCACGTTGCAGTGTTGAAGTTATTTCTCCACCTTTTTTGTTGTGGTTCTAGCAATTGAATGTTTGCGTGATGGATTTGAACCCTTGCATTCTTTTAGAGAAGGAAGGTCAAACAGAGTTAAGTAAATAGAAAATACATCTATATTTTATCTATAATAACATAGCCGTATATCTATAAGCCTACTAAGGTATTACACCCTATAAAAATGTTTGCTACTGATAATATTAATAATACTACCAACAAATGTTGGTACTTGGCCTTATAGTTGGGATTTTAAAGGCCTTGGATTACTAGAGAAGCAGGGATATGTAATGCTTTATGTAACAATGAGACCTTTTTTTCAGATCTAACAACTTCTACTTAGCTATGCTGCTATTTATGCTCTTTCTGTGCATGCTCCCAACTATTTTTGCAATTGCTCGCTACAAGCCATCTCTAAACTGTGGCCCATTTAGGTAAGTGGATACTGGCGTTCCTTCATTTAACATGCTAAGCAATATTCTGCTAACAGACCTACTTTGTGTTAATTTAAAACAACAACAACAGGAAAACATCTACAAAATCAGAGCTCATTCCACAAATAATGCTATTGGAAGATAGATACTGTGGTCGTGGTGTCCTGATTTTTCATAATTAGATAGTTCCACGTGTGTCTTTTAGGCATCATTGTCTTAAAATGAGGAACACATGCCATTAAAATAAATACTATTGGAAAGTTTGGGTGCAGTAAAGAACTGGGTTGAACTGGGATAGGCTGCTGGTCAGGCTGCTGATCTACGCCTCTCCATTGACTTTATTTACATGGTCTTTACATGACTTTATTTACATGGTCTTCTGAGAGTTGAGGTTCAGCAACAGGTGGAGGGTCACAGGTAAAAGTGGAGGTAGATAAGAAGCCTTGAGTTCAGCTTGAAAAGGTTTTAATCCCAAGTTGATTAAGAGGAAACTTGTGGTCTATCCATGTATGGACTTTATCCCTCCAGCTTGCTCAATTGGTGATCATTTTCCCCCATTCTTCCTAGCTTATCTAGCTCAGAGCTTGGCTGTGAACAGAAAATTATTCTGAAATGTTTTAAATGCTGCAGATTTTCTGAGACAACAACTGACTGAATGTTTTCCATCTAGCGGGCAAGAAAAAATCTATGACATTGTGTCTGAAACTATTCGAAACGACTTCCCTCCTTGGTTTAACTCTGTGATGGCTTATATCAGTAGTCCCGTGGTGGTCCTTCCAGCTTTATTATTACTCTTGTAAGTCTAAACACTTTTGTTTGATTTGATGGTCAGTATTTCAAGTGGACTCCAAACTCTGTGTCCATGTCATTATCCTGGGAGAACTTCCATTTTAGCCAGCAAATGGAAGAGGCTGAGAGATCTGCATTTAGATAGCTAATATTTATGACTAGTGCCTTCTAAATATTAATCAGGTCTGCCCTGCCTTAGCTTCTAAATCCAAACAAGGTGTCCTTGTATTGCCAGCTGCTGGGAAGAAATCTCCTTATTATGGAAACAAATTATTGTAGTTATGTTTATTCAGTTCTTTTAATTTAATGTGATGTAAATCAAAGACATCTCTACTGATATTTTTTCCTCCTGATATTTCTCTCCACCCCCCCCCCCCCCAGCATGCTAATATATTACCTGCAGAGCATTGCGAGGTCATTAAAATTCACCAACAACCAACTAAGGATGCAGATCCAAACAGTAAGTGCTGACTAAATGCTCATACCATGTTTTTAGTTATTTAAACAATAAAATAAAATTAATTATTACCAGAGAGAAGAATGAATCAACGGGTGGTTAGCAGTGCAGATAACTTTTATACCCACAAACTTTATTTGATGTTTGAGCGCAATGTTTTGTTTTGTTTTTCAACAGACGTATTATATAAGGCTGAAGTTTTAACCAGTTAATTTGGTATCTGTTGTAGGAAAGAACGGAAGACAAGAAAAAAGTGGTCAAAATGGCAGCAGGTGAGCGAAAACTTCCTTAAGGTGCTTGGCATTATTGGACTGTATGTTCGGTCATCTTTTTCACAAAATGCAATAATAATTGAAAGCAAAAGCTGTCAAATGAAACATACGGAGACTAGCCTAGCCGTGTTTACCTGCTGCAGAAAGAACCAGAAGAAGATTGTGACAAATTTCAGACCGACGCGTTAATTATTAGAGAATCAGCTTTTGAAACTCCCAAGATGAAGCTACAATCAGAATTCAAGAATTTTGGGCAACCTGTTCTCACCGGGTTTTGAATTTAACAGTGCCCTAAACCAGTGTTTCTCAACCTTGACAATTTTAAGGCATGTGGACTTCAACTCCCAGAATTCCACAGCCAGCAATGCTGGCTGTGGAATTCTGGGAGTTGAAGTCCACATGCCTTAAAATTGTCAAGGTTGAGAAACACTGCCCTAAACCATACTTTGTTTTACCTTGGTTATAGCTTGTAATGTTGGGATGTCATGGTTTATGGTTTAGGATGATGTGTGAATCCAGCTTCTGATTCTTGTTTAACAAGCCAGGATTAAAGCATTGTCACATTTTAACATGATGGGCAAATTCAGCTGGAGGATGCTGGTTGAGTTACTAAGGTTGTGCTTTGGATCAAATATGTGCTACGCCATTGATCAGTTCCAGCTGATGACGGGAAGCAATAACTGATTTTTTTTCCCTAAACTTTATTTTTTTAGCTAGAATCCAAAACGTAGAAGGAAATGGCAAGAGGCCCGAACAGGAGACTGACGGCATCAGTCAGGAGTCTTCAGCTCGCTCCTCAACCCCTAGGAAAAATGGCAGTGTAGTGAACTTTGAGTCTCCCAAACCCAGCCAGATACAGACAATATCTCAATCAGTTCCACCCCCTGAAATTCTGAAAGCAGTGGGCCCATCCCCAGCAAAGGATAATCCAGGTGTTCCAACGCCTGTAGCACCGATACCTGTCACACCAACGCCTCCTATTCCTGAGATGGCGAAGCCTAGAACAGAACCTTCAATCAACAGGTAAGACCCTTCCCAGAAACTAGAGAAACCAGAGAGAGTGACTGGCCAAAGTTACCCAGCTGGCTTTCATGTGGGACTAGAACTCACCGTCTCCTAGTGATTGGCCCATAGTCATCCAGCCAGCTTTCATGCCTAAGGCGGGACTAGAACTCACCCTCTCCTAGTGACTGGCCCATAGTCATCCAGCCGGCTTTCATGACTAAGGTGGGACTAGAACTCACCGTCTCCTAGTGATTGACCCATAGTCATCCAGCTGGCTTTCATGCCTAAGGCGGGACTAGAACTCACCGTCTCCTAGTGATTGGCCCATAGTCATCCAGCCGGCTTTCATGCCTAAGGTGGGAGTAGAACTCACCATCTCCTAGTGATTGACCCATAGTCATCCAGCTGGCTTTCATGAATAAGATGGGACTAGAACTCACCGTCTCCTAGTGATTGGCCCATAGTCATCCAGCCGGC